AAAATATTACTATATTAGCTATCATGGATTTGGTTAATTAGTGATATATTGTGATGAACTTCTATTGTTTGTTTCCGTTTGTTTTCGTGTTAGTGTGTACTTTTCTTTAAATGAAACTACAATATTTAATATCTAACCAAAATTAATCTGTAAATCTTCAACAGAAAAGTCAAACGTAAACATAAGAAAAGCTCTCGTTTGTGTTTGACGTTAACAGTTTCCCTTTTACGAATGATTTGATCAAAACTGTTAGAGCTTGGTCATGAGTTTAAAGTGAGATTATAGATGGATCCAAAACTATGAATTTTCTTGATATACAAATATATAGACGAAGTGTATGGACCTTCTCGAGAACCAAACAAATCACTGATAAGTGTTAAGTGTTAAGTGTTAAGAATGTCGTGTAGAAGCTAACACATCTCAACATAGTGAACCGTACGCAAAGTGTATGTCTGCGTATATGTATCACCCACCCATTATATTTACTATTTAGCTCGAATGCTTATAAGGAATTTTAATGGCCCACAGAGAATGCGTGTATAATTAAATACGAATTGCCAATATCTGAATAGTCAATATATGGCCCACGAAGCAAATCAACAGACATTATTACTTTGATTAATGAGCTTTTTGATTAAATCTCTGCTCTATATATATGGTATCTGCCGTTTACTCTAAGCTGAAGAAACTCTTATCACCTACCTACCGTTTTTTATAATCAAGAAATTTCGGATCTTCAACATATAACTGTTTTAGATATGCAGAATCAATCATTGATAATACATGTGAAAATAAATCATTAATATAAGATCAAAAACTAATTTCTTTTCCTAAAGAAATCTTGAGTCAATCAAGTGACCTATCTTGACAGAAAGTACCTTAACATTTCTTTTGTTGATTAATTGTCTCTTTAGATTAAGAGTATAATCAACCGCTGATAATTGATGCATTACTTGTCAGTGTTTCTAATTCTAATATAGACCGAACTTAGGTTTTCTTTCTTCCTCGTAAAAAAAGTTGTTAGTTAACTAAGTGAGATTATAAGTTTATCCCATGGATGCATTAAGGACAAACGACTGTGTTTTCCAAC